TGGACAGATACCCTGATGTTTTCCTGTAAAATTTGCTGGTACAATTCAGAATTCGTAGTTCCATCAGTGATGGCAAGCCGTCCTGGTTCAGAGGCAGCAAAACAGGCCCAAACCATGATACTGCCACTACCATGTTTCACAGATGGGATGAGGTTCTTATGCTGGAATGCCTTTCACCAAACATAACACTTTTCATTCAAGCCAAAAAGTTCTATTTTAGTCTTATCCATCCACAAAACGTTCTTCCAATAGCCTTCTGACTTATCCACGTGGTCTTTTCCAAACTGTAGATGGGCAGCAATGTTCTTTTTGGAGAGTAATGGCTTTCTCCTTGCAATCCTGCCATGCACGCTATTGGCGTTCAGTGTTCTCCTGATGATGGTCTCATGAACACTGACATTCTCCAATGCAAGAGAGGCCTTTAATTCCTTAAATGTTATTCTGGGGTTCTTTGAGACCTCCCAGAGTATTACACACCTTGCTCTTGCTGTGATCTTGGTTGGTCAACCACTCCTGGGGAGGGTAACAATGGTTTGAATTGCCTCCATTTGTACATGATCTGCCTGACATTGGACTGGCGGACTCCAAACTCTTTGGAAATAGTGTTGTAGCCTTTTCCATCCTGGTGAGCATCCACAGCTGTTTTTCAGAAGTCCTCAGAAATCTTCTTTATTTGAGCCATGACACATTTCCACATACCTGTGTTGTAAAGATCAGACTTTGATAGTGAATACCCAGAATTCTGTTCTTTAAATAAGGCAGGATCTCCCACACTCACACCTGATTGCCATCCCATTGATTGAAACATTTGACTCTAATTTCCCCTTCAAATGAACGGATAATCCTAGAGGTTCACATACTTTTGCCACACACAAATATGTAGCTTTGGATCGTTTTCCTCAATAAATCAATGAACAAGTATAATGTTTTTACTCATTTGTTTAACTGGGTTCTCTTTATTCAATTTTAGGACTTGTGCAGAAAACAGATCACATTTTAGGTCATATTTATGCAGAAATATTGAAAAATCAAACAGGTTCACAGACTTTTAAGCATCACTGCACATAGGCTTTGGCCACCTTAGTAGCCTTTTTGAGGGACCCCTTTTGTCCAAGATCTGTCAGTTTCCTAGTTTCTTCCTTCCTAATTAATTTGGCATTATCAGTTGAATCTTCAATCTCAACAAGATGCGATTGGCAAGCCTCCCTTCTTTTTCAGCTACTCTCCTAGCTGTCCCCTTCTTTCTGGTGTGTTAGCTTGCTGATCACCCGTATGAGTGAATCATAGACACTACAGTAAAGAACAGCAGTTCTTCAAGTGGTGACCTGTAAGTTCATACAGCCCTACCTCCCTTCTTGCAGGGGAGTTTCAGTATGCAGTGGCAGACTTCAGAACTGAGAGAAATGACGGCAGTTCTGCCTTTACTTAACATATATTGTGGGACAGGATCCGATTCCTTTCCTAATTTCTTAGACCGTGGAACATTCTGGATAGGTTATTACCCAGACACAGTACAATATATGTGAATTCACAGATGATAATTTGAAGAATTACTGTTACAGGTAAACAACCAGTTCTTTTGTTTTTTATACCTGAGCCATTGCATGTGAGTGTGCAGTAATTCCCAAAAGACAGAAAATTTTACCGATTTCTGGTCCAAAGATGTAACATTTTCCTAATCTTCATCCTTTTCTTTAAGACAAGACAGAAATAGATTCCAGATGAAGTTTTTATTATAGAATTGCCTCTAATAGAAAGTTTTACAGGGATTCTTAAGAATGTTTTCCACTTGAACCTTCCTTTTATTCACCTACTGTTTCTCTGTTTTCTTACTATAGAAAATCCATTAAGGAAGCAAAGAGAGAATAGCAGCACAGTATCTTTTGACTGGTAGAGCTAGGAACTGCGTTGAACTGAAGTCACCCAGAATTTGAATACTTTCTTTACAATACATTACATAGACTCCTTCCTTGTGCTGCATTTGCTGTCTTTTAATTATTTCACTTTAGAATAATAACACAGATGAGAAGTTCACATTTTAAAAACAAAGACTCACATGTGCAACATTTTTAATTTTCTAAAATTAAAATACATCATACTAAGATGTTGCTTAAAAAATGAAGGTGCAGAAGAAGATATACCATCAGATAGTTAATCACTAAAGAGTCTGCTTCAGTGTTGATAGATGGGGGAGGCAAAATCAGTTTAAAACCACCACTTCAAATGTAAGATGGGTGTAAAATTGGCATATGCCTGGCAACTCCACTCATGCTATTCTAGAGACAGAAGAGAAAGAGAAAATATTAAATTGTTAATTAAAATTTCCACTTCTACAGAAACAGGACATATATGAAATTATAAAACATTTTAAGTTGGTGGTACCCCTTTAAAGAAACAACTTTATGCTTTTAAGCAGTAGTGTAATAAACAATTATAGTGACAATAAAAGTGAAACCATTAAATGCTGCCTCCCTTCTGTCATGCTCTCTATATAGACATTGTAGGATATATATGGAAAAAAGTTCCATACCCCAAATGTGGTAGAGGAAAGAGCCCTGTGCTTTAAATTAATTTACCTTCCAGCGATGCATGGTTTGTACTTACTGCTTCTCTATTCATAAAAATGGGGGGATATAAATATAAGAAACATTGCAGTATGTACTATCTAGCAAAACTCTCTGTATTTGCATTGGTTTTGCAATTAGGGCTATCAAGTTGTAAACAAAACAACTATTTTACATTTTACAGAAGTAAAAGGCCAATATTTTTGCTGCCCTAATGGTATGGAAGCCATAACAGCTTGGTGTTGTGGTCATGTGAGGAAGCTTCATGCTAGCAGGGAAAACTCCAGTGTGAGAAATAAACACAATATAGTCTCCATCCAGGTGGGCAGGACTTCTCATTATTGTGGTAGCACAGGAAGGAGCCTTTATTCTCTGATTCTTATGACATTGCTGTCACATGAGTACCAATAGACCAGAAATCTCCACCTTTTGGGAATCACTGGGGTCATTTTATCTTTTGGGAGCATGTCATAGATGATCAGAGAAAAGACTACCATAGAAGGGGTTGTCCATTCAGAAATGGTTCTCACAGTGGATAAATATCATTCTCCATTAGGCAAACTGATGTGTGTACTTCTTGCCACCCTCTCTAGCCCTCTTTATCAATCCCCAGTTTACATTTGCCTTTTTTCTGAGCAGGGTGGCACATTTCCAGATGAAATATAAGGTTACAGAAGTCACAATTCTTACTTTTCAAGAATACCTATATGTTCACTGTCAAATTGATGAACGTTTTTTAAATTAAATTTAATTGTGAGGGCTGGTGCTTTGCTTTACAGCATGTAGCTCTTATATTACTTTTCTTTAAATCAATGTTTTAAAAAATTAAGAAGTAGAATGAGGCAGTAGGCCTAGCAAGCACCAAGGCATGTAATCTGTAAGCATGTTGGTGCTCATCATTAGAGACACACAGAAGTATCAGTAACTGTGATAAAGACTATACAGTGATTGTAGACTAATTCTGTACAGTTTACAATGGCCAGAATCTGAGAAATATAGAAACCTGTTCTTATTTCCTCATATTCTTCATGTGTTTACTCAAAACCTGGTGCTGCCTGTTTTCTGGTTTAGGGTATGACAGTTCCCAGATCCTGATCTGACAAGGGGATTATTCTGCTGTGCATATTTGAACAGTTGGTTACTGCAAGTAATCCTCATTCAGCGACTGCCTCGTTTAGCAACCAATAGATTACGACAGTGATGAAAAAGTGACTTTATGACCAGTCCTCACATTTACGACCTTTGCGGGTCTGTAAAGCAAAGGAAAGCTGAAGTAAGGTCATAAGCATAGTCGCAGTTTCACTTAGCAACTGCTTTGCTTAACAACTGAGTTGTCAGTCCCAATTGTGGTCGCTAAACGAGGACTGCCTGTATTAGAACTCTTTTCCTCGATGTGTCAGTGGCAAGAAAACTGATTGCTACTGAATTTGGAGGAGTTTTCTTTTAATATTTTCCATTTTACTCTTGTGTTATTATAAGCCACTCAGAACATTTTTGGAATTGAGTGGTCTATAAATAGCATAAATAAATAAGTTAAATAATGGCTGCTAAAGAGAACTTTTTCCCAAAGTAGTCATAGCTGAGAATCTAGTCATAGATACTTTTAAAAAGTGTCATGTGACTTGGGCTATTCTGGTTATATGTATGCACTGAAAAAAGTAATTGAATGACCTGTCTTGAGCTTAATTATTTAGATATAAGAAGATTGCTTTTCTAACTTCTTCCCTTAGAATGAAATGCAGTAGTCTGTTCTGGAGGAAGAACTGAGGTGGCTTTTAAAAAATAAAGAATAATGAATTGGTGTGATGGTATGTGCAAAGGTCATTGGAATGACAGTTATCCTTAAGCCTCATGTTGCCTGATTCATATGGTATGGCACCTGCTTGGGATGGAAGAATATAAGCATGGCTTGATATTTTACCTGTACAGGTAGTCCCCAGTCTAAGAACGAGTTCCGTTCCCAAGGTCTGTCCTTAAGTCAAATTTGTATGTAAGCCAGAACA